GTTACATTTGTATTCTGCTGATTACCATATTTAGTTAGATCGAGAAAAGCTTTTTGTTATTTTTTAATCGCTCGCATCAAATGAGAACACACAAATTTTAATTCCGTGATAAAAGTGGACCAGGAGAAGAAAACACACGGAAGCAGGGTTTCATTTGTTGATATACTCACCTTTAAAAATCTCAACTTTTAACCATATTCATGTTTGTGGTGGGCGATTCAGGCGAGCCAAATATTATGTTCCCCAACTTTGCTCGAGCTTTTTGAAACATTCTCAGACGTTTCAATCTAACAAAGGCCCTTGTTCGAACTTCACAACAGTTGCTTCTCGATGTTGCTGTCCTCAAGACGAACAAGTGAGGGCAAGGGTATGGTTTTTTTAGGTCAGTCTTGAAAACTGCCAGTTTGTCTTCGTGAACGGGGCATTTCTTGATCAGTTTAAAGGTAGAAGGCAAGGGGAGCAGAAATAAAGGTAGTTTTTTTTTTATATATTTGAAGTGAACAATGTCCGATGTCTTGTAACGTGTTCCTTTAGTGTAACTGTAGGTCTCTTTGTGGAAGTTCAGTGATGGCTTTAGTAGGCCCTAGATATCTGGTTAGATGAGAATTCGTGGATGCAAATAAAGTAACTAAGTTTGAAACATTCCTCTATTTGTGTCTTTTCCCTCGACTAAACGTTTCCCTTTTTGTACCGCGGTCTCTGAGACTGAAAAACAAATCGATGTCCACTAAGTCTCCTGGACCCGAATGTTACCAAGCGAGAACCACAGAAAGGATACCGTAAGAGAAGTAATAAAAAAGATATCGAGATCTTGATCTACGTAAACGTAGTGTTTGTGCTTTTCTTTACTTTTAAAATTTCCCTCTTAGAAATAAAAAAAAAATTGCCCCACTGGACGAAGAAAAGGAACGCCGTTTCTTTTTCCGGTCCTGGAAAAAGGTAACGAGTTCCAGTGTCAGTTCAACCTTTGCAAAATGGAACATCGGCGTTCCTTCGTTCCTCCTAGAAGGAACGCTTTCCAGGAACGCCGGTCCATACAAAACTGCCTGTGGTCATGGAGGGCGCATACGTGGCTGTTAAGTTTAAAATAGGCCGTCACTTATTTATTTAAGGAGCCGCCGCCAAACGCCTTGTGGACTTTCGCTCTTTCCTTGACAAAGCAGTCGCAGCACCGAACGCTCATTACGCGAGCTCGAAACGCCCCGACAGAAATACTAACGTGAAAGATGGCACTAGACTCTCGGTTTTCACCTTGACATATATGGCCAGGTTACCTGAGTCGGCATAACTGTTCGCGGTATTCAGGTGTGCTGTTGCAACTCGCTTTTAAAACAACTCCGCGTTCGCGCCTGAGGTGTATACGATTTAAAGGTGGTCTCACCATAGGATTATTTTTTGCTTCAAACGCAATTCCGAAATCGAACACTGCAATTTTGAGGACAGAAGGGTCGCATGTGCACGGCGAAATCGTGAAATAAATGAGCGGCGGAGGCATGCAATACGACTCGAGTACCAGTATCGCTACAAACAACCTGCAAAAAGAAAACAACAAAAAAAAAACAAAAAAAACATTGGGCATGCTTGGGAGTGGCAGCTGCATTGTTCAAACGTGAGCTTTTACTCTCGTGACGCCGCTTGACCTTGCGTCTGAAGCAGAAAATACTAGGTATCCCAGGAAGCCTTGATCGCGTAAGATGCCAGTACGGTGAAAGCTACGGCTCTGGTGGGAGAATCGAAACGTGACTATGTATCACCGAAGTGCGCTTTTACTGCGAAAAATTATCAGGTTTTTCGCTGCGCCATGCTCCAATATGTGTGCGTTGCGCTCGTAAACGGCGCGCATTTCGGAGCCGTCGGCACGCAATCTGGGGATTATCGTTTACCCTTTGCCGAGTTACAACAAGACAGGGTATAACCGTGGGCTCTCACTTTCCTGGCGCCTCCTGGCTGTTGCCGGCTGACTATACCTCATTGAACTTTAAGTCCTACAGTAGCTGACGCTACAATCCCACACAGCCAATCAAGCTCCGCGAAAAGTGCGTCGCCATGGCGCGCGCTAGTTGTCTTCATGGGTTGGCTACCGCCACAGACGCCGATAAAAGAACGGAGTCTTTTTTGTCCACAACGTGCAAAGAAGGAAAAGCGATAGCTGGTGCTCTAATCCTAACACTTGGCGAAAGAGTCGGCACGGAATGCGACCGCCGTAATTGACAGGCGCTAGAGTCGAACGCTTCGCCGGCCAATCACGGACACCGGATTCCTCGCCGACTTTTTCGACAAGAGTCCAGATTAGAACTTCTGTACGTCGCCGCGTACTTGCGGCGCGAGCGGTTCCTCGTTGGCGGTCAGTGTGGACGCGACGCCGTTCGCGAGCCGCAGACGCCAGCCGTTCCCTCCGCAGGAGCGAGCGCGGAGAGAACGGCTGGCTTCCGCGACTCCTACTCAGTGCCGTGGGACGGAGTACGGCCTTGACGCGGCGCGCGATTAAGGCTCCTTAACGCAGTTGCGTTTGACGGCCTTAAGATTGCTGGCGTCAAGCTGTTGATATGACGAACCCTACGACGAGCCGATGGTGAGGGGCTGCGCTTGAAGACGCAACATAGAGCAACGCGGTCGACGCATTTGTGTGAACGCGCCTTTAGCAAGAGTCTGCGGCAGTGAGGGCCCTAGGGCTGGCGCAGGTTTTCCCGGCGTTGTTGAGCGGTGAAAGAAGAGGGTGATGTTGACGTTCAGCGAAGAGCGGAGAGGGCGACGGATGCAGAGAAAGGAGGCGAAACTCTGCGGCGAAGGCGGGCCGAAGGACGGCAAGTTTTCGGAAAAACAAATTTCGCGTTTCGAGTTCGGTTCGAGAAGCAGATATGCTACAGTCTAAATCCAACGCGGTGGAAGTTTCTAAAACGCTCCAACATTACATAGAGCAATTGGATACTGCAAAAGTGGGATTGCGTAAAACGCAATCCCACTTTGGCAGTAAACTTTGTAAACATCTGCATTGAAGGTATCGTTAGCAAACGACAGAGGAAGACACTCCGCTGACGATTGGACGTCGCGCCTTCATTGGTGGGTCGTCCGGGCGCTCCTCTCTTCCTTCTCCGCGTGGTGTTGCGGCGGGGGTAAATGGGAACACCCGACTTCTTTCTTTTGGCGACATAGCTGGGGAGAAGAAGGGGTTTTTCCTATCCTTGGCGAAGATAGACAACAAATGCCGACACGAAGGTTTATGCAAAGTGCCACCCCTAAAAATATCGCTTTAAAAGCACGTAATCCTTGCGCTCTCACTGTGTCTGATTTCGCTAGTCCGTGATACCTAACGTACAAAATAAGCGCCATGACGATACATTGTTTGGTAGGATCCACAGGATCGAAGTGTGGGCTGCGGTCGGAATTAAAGTCAAACGGATTGAAGTAGCGAGTTTTAGGGAGCCGTTTTCCTCATCCGATAGGGTACGATAGGCCCTAAGGTGCGAACTCTCAATGTGCTATCGCAGAAGACTCGCATACACGCAGTTCGTACCAAGGGCCCGTCGTATCGTATAGGGTGCGCCAAGAAGGTTACCTCAAACTCACTAGTGTATTCTATCCCGTTAAAAATACGAGGACACTTAAGCCTCGCGTTTAAGAGTGGAACGCGATAGCGTTATTGGGCCCGTTCTAAAGGCCTTCTCATTCACTTCTCATGCTCTTCCTGCCAGTTAGCAGAAAGTGCGGTGGACATGGCCTTGTCTGTAGCGTGTCTGGCTCGCGACCGAAGGGTCGTGAATTCCAGTCCCGTTTAAATTAAAAAAAGAAGTTTTCTTTAAGGCAAATTAATTACTTGCTTTCTTCCCGACACGAGATCACGTGGCTGTGACGTCATGACCTTATCGACTAACCAAGATTTTCGCCTCGCGCTAACGACACCGGCTTTTCTGCCACGCCACCGAGGCCGGCTTTTCTGCGACATGAGCACCTTAATGCTATTGAGTTAATAAATCAATGTACAGAAGTGCGCGGGAGACGATTTTGAACATGAAGTATACACTGCTTAGAATTATATTTAACCATTTTTGAGTCTCCTGAGGCGGGAAAAATAATGAGACCAAAGGAAAGTAGAAAAAAAAAGGTAAGAACGACAGACGACGTCAACTTCCACCAGCTCGCCTGTGTCATTACTTCATTATAATTATTTCTCGAGGTTCATAGCCCATACAAAACACGTTTGTTTTTCGATCCACGTAGAAGCAGTCGTAGCAAAATAAATTAGAGCGAAACAGGCAGCGTTCATTACCTGAACGCGAAGTTACAGCAAGCGGTATCGTGATCTGCAACCCATTATATTTCGCAGATGTTCCTCATAGCCATGCGCTGGCAACCCTACCAAAAATAACGGTTTGAAATTAAATCGGAATGAATACGGAGTTTCAGACCGTCATATGAAACCGGGAACTAAATCGGAGACAACCAATTCAGAAACTTAACCGGAGACAACCAATCCGGAGGCCTAACCGTACTTGGTCAAATCGTAAGCTAAATCGGATGTGGCCAATACGGAGAATTTAACCGGAATGAATTACACCGGAGATTAGGCCGTACCGGGCCACTCCGGACAAAAGAGGAATTAGATTAATACAGAGCTAATGCTCAGTTTCACCTTCTGGTGTACTGAGGCTGATGCTAAGAGCCTTTTGAGTCAGACCAGTGCTTGAGAGCATGTCATCCGACTCTCTGGCAACACCCAGCGGCACGGAATGCGTTGAGCCATGCAACATATTCACTGCGCTTGGTTGGTAGGAATGGCTATAGCATATGCTGCACTACATCAGAGGTAAAACAGAACATAGTCAGTGTTGGTTAGTCACCAATATCACTGCAAATAATGAGGTACGACACCACACAGGGAATTGTGAAAAAACGAGAAGATTCACTTATATAGTCTGAAAACACACAATGGCATAAAATCTGAGGAATGATACATTTAAAATTTTGTAAAACATAAAAAAAAAATAGGTTTAAGGCTCAAAACTCAAACATTTCACACCAGGGTTCGTAGAGGCTTTAAAGAAAAAAATTCAAGGTTTTTTAAGAACTTCTAAGAACCTGTAAATATATATTGAAATACTCATCTAGTAGATTTGTAATATATAATCTTTTTAAAATGCACTGCGAAAATTCTTTATTGCACAATACCTGGGAAAAGGCGGATTTGCCGAGGAGGTGCTAGTTTTCAAAGGGACCCGCGCACCCCGCACACACAAAATCCTCTACAAAAAAAATCAAGAAAATAAGGCAAAACCACAAATATATACAAGAAAGCCAACTAGGTATACACAGGGGTTTAAAGCGATAAACTGGTATTCCGTTCACCAAGCAAAACTGACCCCCGCTTGGCTGCCGCCATGTTGTTTGACCACTGGACACATGACCGTACAAAATACTGAGGTTTTTACGCAAAACTAAGCCGAGGTTTTTATTGCGATTGCAGTAAAAACATGATAAACTATTTTTTTAAATATATTTAGCCCCAGAGATCAGTGTCTAGCTTTGATAAAAACCCAAAATACAGCACCACGGCTGACGGCACCTGGCGGAGGCATTGCGAAGCTGCCCAAGTTTTTGTCGTAAAAGCATGTTTTCGATTTAAAACAAACGAAACAACTTATCCCGTCAGTACCGTTAACACATTCAAGACTGCAAAATAATTAATAAATCATATAAAAAATAGCTTTGTAAATAAAAATACATATTGCACAAGGTCCTTATAAGTCTAATGCCAAAACACAATAAAAAATTAAAAAAAAATATCGCAGACAAAAAAAAAAAAAGAAACAGGGCGAAAAGCGGAAGCGACTGGCGTTTAGGGTGGGGGAACTGCTAACGGAGATTCGTGGGCGTTCTTTGTGTTCTTCTTCGCCCTCTCCACTTCCCCGTTCTTATAGACCAAATAGTCACCTGAGAGCTTTTTCACCACGTCCCGGACGGACGGCTTGTTGCCTTTCTTGGGACCTGGCTTGTTGCTGCCGTCCTCCTTGTCTTCCTTGCCGTCCTCCTTGTCTTTCTTGATTTTGGCCTGCTTTTCTGCATAGCAGCCAAACGCAGCTGCAAAACCAGAGAATTGCAGCGTGTTTAGTTTTTATTGTCTGGATTTCAGGCAATAAGAAAATTAAAGTGTGTTTTAAATGGAGCACCAATCGGTGGCAAAAGCGTAAGCTTGGTGACGTCTTGACAACGGCATTGGCATCCAGACTGGCTGGAAAAGTGCACGTGACATTAATGTGCATGCCTTTTGCCAAGTGGTTTTTGCTCCCAACTTCACCTGAAGCACCCGCTGATCCACATGCCATTCACATCTTTATAGAGAGATGTTCCAACAATTACTAACGCTGCTGGTTCTGGCTGCACCATCAACAACTGTGCCATCACCAACGAGAAAAGGTAGCTGCAATCATGAGTTCATTTCACGTATTATATTCTGAGTAACACAAATTGCTTAAAAAATACATTTTACTGTGTTACTGAAGTCTCATATTCGCGACTCCAGCAAAACGGACGCCACCAAGCGGGAAAACCGGGAACCAGCCGGACCAGGTCGCTCCGCGCCCCTCCGCGTCTCTGGTGGCTTTCTCAGTCGCGTGTTGTCGGCGCTGTGGCGAACGATGTAATTTGACGAAGGTCCGAAGATTTCTTGAGTTTGCCTGAGTGTTCATTAGTGTGGTGAAGCCTCAGTAAATTGTTTCCTTCTATCACGTGGTTGAAAGTCCGTTTACTCCACAACACACGGTCGCGTGCTCTCGATTTCTTGGTTGGGGAGGAATCACAAAAAAAACGTTTTGATTTCTTGTCTGTCTCTAATCACATTCAAAGTGGCGACTACTTGGTAACTGATGTGGTTTCTTTATAAGGATGTAAAACAGTGAACTGAGGACGACAGACGAGGCATTTCACTGCAGGGAACACCAATGTGTTAGTCAAGTGAATAGGAAGGTTCGATAGCTGCTTTTCTTGAGTTTGGTTGTGTTCGATTAGCTTCAAGTTTGAACCACCCACGCCGGTCGGTGTGTTGGCTATTGATCTTGGCTGCTTTTCGCCAAAAAAAGCCTCTGCACCACTCTGAAGGAGTTGGGCTGACTTTCGTAATTACTTGATTCAGGAAAACCTGCTCGCTGCAAATGATGAATGAGGAAAATTTTCTGTTTTCAAAAGGTGGGGGACGCGTCTCGCAACGTTAGAAGCTGTCACGGCATTTTGATCTATCGCGCCTCCAATATTTAAATTATACCCCCATCAAAGCCAGCAGCAATATACATCAACGTTGATCAGTTTGACCGGCCACAAAAAATGCTAATTTTTATCGTTCAGGATTCGAAGCAAAGTTCAATGCAGAGAGGTTCTGCGTGAATCTCCAATGCAGACTCTCTTCAGTTTGTCGCCGTGCTGCCGGCTAGAACCATTTGGCTAAGTTTAAGTAGTATCTCTCTGCCTGTCAAATATACTTTTATTCAGCAGTTCACCTAATAGCTAGTCAACTAAGCCCATATTTCAACCCGAAGAATATACTAAGATCGCTTTAGTGGGACATAATACGTAATATAATACACAACCCGCTCGACAAAAAGACTTCTCGATTGCTACTAAAACTTGAATTGAAATACGAGTATCAGCTGCTTAGTGGGGTGCCGGCGGGTTAACATGGTCCTTGGCTCGAAAAGCGCTTGCTTAATTTTCGTAACTTTCCTGCAGCCTGTGTTGTTGACCGAGCAGACGACTGGAGCTGTTTCCTAAAAGTGGATACGCACAAAAGCTTGATTTCGCGGACAGATAAGTTGCATGGTCGAGGCATGCGAGTTCGCTGAAAATTGCTTTTGGTGGAACAATACTGTAGTCATCGCCGCTTTCCTTAGACGACCAAAACTGATTAGTATAACACCGTCTCTCCGGAGCCCATAGTTTCGGTTTTGAACGAAATCTCCGAAACAAAAGTTTAACAAGGAAAGAACAAAACAAAAAAAATGGGAAAACAACACTATGTTTTGCAAGTTCATGGGCACCGGCTATACTTAACCGTCTTAGTTCAAATACCTATAAAATTGGGCATTAAACAAAACAAAATCTGTTAAATTGAACGCGCCACCTGCTAAGGCGGCTCGGCCGATCTGACACGACCTGGACTCAGCCACCATGTTTGTTTGGTGGTGATGCCCCCTATAGGTGGCTGGAGTCGCGAATACTAGCTTGGGCGTAGGTTATGCACATACAAACCTAGTTGGAAACCCGTGGCAGGATCCCTTAAGTGAGTAATCCACTCACCAATGACGGCATCAATCTTTTCTGGGGTGAGGGGTGTCTTCTCCACTGCCCCATTTTTGAGAAGGCGCCTGCAGGCTTGTCCGGTGACGCTCCGGTCAAACAGCGCTGCAGGCTCCCAGAGGCCTCGACTGACCATTCTCACAAACCGTCCAGGACTGGACGCATGGGTGAGAGCGTGGGTCATCGTGGCCTCTGCCAGAGTTATGCCGTGGCCGAGATGAACCTGCAGCATGACAGGCAGTTTCAAGATACAAGAAGAGGGCTCTCTCCATTCCCCTGTAGAGCTGCTGTAATTTTGACCTGTATGACCTAAGTTTAAAAAAATCGGTACGCCATTGCTGATATCAAAATAACCAGTAAAAAAGGGAATATGCAAACAAAAGATGGGTTTTTATTGCTCTACAGTACTCGTAGCATAATGCTATCCATCAGATGACAAAACCTTCTGTAATCACCATTTGTTAAAATAAATTATTTTAAAGTAGAAAAGAAAGACCACGTATGCCACAGACTAGTATATTACTATAGTAATACATTGGAACCTCAGTTTATTGAAAATCCAGGATAACTAGTAGAATTTCTATGGTCCCATATAGTATCAAGTGTAAATATGACCAAATAATATGTATGACCAGAGCGCACCTACCCAGTTAGTTGCCGGACTTTCATCGACCCGGCTCATTTTTTACATGCTAAGTGGCACAAATCGGCACCCAAATGCAATAGCGAAAACATACATGGCGAGTTTTCGTCATTCCGTTTCCTGCTTGCATGCGAATTCATGCTTAAAAGTTATTTGTGTGCTTTTCTGATTTTTCCATTGTGATCTGGGAGTCAGTGATGTCAATCTCGTGTGCGATTGTAGTGCGGAGGGAACCTGCTGAAGTACAAAACCCTAACGCCGCGCCCGAAAGTGGGCCTCATCGAGAGAGCAGACAAGTTTGCAATTTCGAGAACGAAGCTTGCCGAGAAACATAAGCGGCCTCTCGACGAGGACGACAATTCTCTAGGCCTGCAACAAGACACTCACCAAAGCGTTCACTAATTTGTCTTCCTACCTATGCCGAGGTTGAAGGCGCCTTGATCACCTGGCGGACATGCTATGCAAACACTGAGAGTGATATTGCTGGGAGTGTGGCTCTTGAAACCCAAAATGACAGCGACTACGAGTTACCCATGCCTTTGCTCTCGGAGAAGTCGTGCAATTGCTAGGGGTTGTCTGCAGTTTATTGGAGTATGTATATACGGTGGCTGTACGGAAACATTTGCCCAATCGTCATTTTTGAGAACACGATAAGTATAACCAACCACAGGACGCGTTAAGCAGATTGATGATTACTTCATGTAACTGCATCATGTTTTGCGATAAAAAGTTTTTTAAGGTTTCCCGCACATGATTTTGGTTCTTTTATTTTTTTTTCGCATAATTTGAAATCCCGCTTAATTGGAATATTTTTCTCAGTCCAACAGATTTCGAATTTACGAGATTCTACTGTATGTCCAGATACCATCAGCTATGCAAAACTTGTAAATGCATCGCATGTCAAAAAACAACTGCAACCAAAAAAAAGAACTTTTTTAACAGTGCGTATACCACATGTATGTTGCAAACATGCATTTTCCTTGAAGAAACGATTTAGCTCACTATTTATGCTGCACAATGGAATTTACATTAGCAGTCTACCTCTCCACTCCTCTCTGTCGCACTTGTTTGCACCATGTTGGTATGGTTACAGTAAAATGAAAAAGGATACATGAAGGAAAACACAGATCACTGCAAAATTACTCACACCCTGAATATTGTTTTCATTTTTCTGCATGCAAAATAGATTTTTGACACAACTTTTCTATCCGGGGGGGCACAGCATCCCTCTTAATACTTGCATTTTTTATAAGATTTATCCTCTATTCTTTTGACTTTATTCTTTTAACCAGGCAACAGTTTGCCACTGTATCACCAGTAATGTTAGCACTGGTAATGAATTTGATTAGCCCCAAAGTAGCAGATTTAGCAGGACGCATGGTTATTAATTTTGTGGACTGGTTAGTCACGAGTTCTCAACCCTAACAGTACAGATTTTCAGGTAGTTGAGCTTTTGGCATTCGTCTGTGGTGTGACCGAGTAGAAGACACAATATTTTGTTACATGGAGCTGGCTGCAAGCACCCTCCGTTATGCCTATATAAGTGATGCACCTTGTTCTCAAAAGCCCTCGATCCAACTTACCTAGTGCTGGCACTAAAAAAATGCAAACTTAGTTAATTAAGCTTTTCCACACCACCTATTGCACTGTTTGCCACCTGAAAAAAATAATTAATGCACTTCCACATCTACAGCAAATACCCATTCTGATTGGTTCATTAGACAACGTAGACATACCATACTATACTAAGAGATAGCCACCTCAATTTAAGAGCGAAGTGAAAATAATGGGAAAGCTAACTTTTAGAGCTTGGTAAAAATATAAAAATCTTGTTGCAACAAAGCCAAGAAAACATACTCTTTTAACGAACTTTAAAGCCTGCGGATTTGCAGTTCAGTTGGTAAGATGAACTACCTACTAGTGAATTACATTATGCTATTTTAGACGCAGTGGGCCGTCAAGCCTGTTATGGCTGCAAGGGTTAACTGAATGAAGGATAACTGTCGTTTCCAGCCCTCATGGCTTGCCCGCCTCCCCTTGTGGCTTGCCCCGTTTCTGCGGAGGTGACCATTGGACTACCTTTAGGTAGTGGGGCATCTCTTAGGATACTAAGATACATAGGTAATAAGCTTGCCTAGGTATTAGCTTTCTTAATATAATCAATAACACTTTTGTTCCAAAAACTGCCCTTTCAATGAAAACATTTAACAAAATCTTTTGTAGGCATACTTGACCATCCAGGACAGCAAGAAGCGGAGGATAAGGAACATCCCCAGACTCCCCACAGCCAGCAGCCCTGGCATCACCTAGAAGTGCAAATTGAAAATTCTCAACATCAGCAACTTCAGAAACCTAGCTGGCTTTATGAAATTAAGGAGTTATATACAGAAATGAAGGACAGTCTACCCCGGCTGTAACTTTACCTGCCACTCCAAAAATGTTAGGGTACAGTTGATTTAACTTGAATTGCAAGCCTCTGCAGTCGGTTTCTGGGAGCAAAATCTAACTTTTGTGCTTAAAGCAACACAAATGTCTGTGCCATTAGGCAGGGACGCTAGGTACTTCCATGCCTCCATGGAGCTGGTCTCGTGAAATAAAATACCTGCGGCTAAGTTGGCCACAATTGGAGCAGCAGCTGCGAGATGAGCATACCGGCCATGGGTGGCGATGAGAATCGAAGAGCAGACCTAGTGACCAAAACGCCGATGCGTTACTTTAGGGCTCTGAGGGGGAGCGGAACCAGCTGGGCTAAGGATGACTAGGGCGCCTCTATGTTCTCCTTGCATTACTCTTTGTAGTACCTGATCAACAGCACATACTCGTGGAGAGAACACAAAGGGATAGCACAACACAAATCCTGCTGTAGTGCAGGCAAAATATGAGCTCAAACCTGAGACACTTACATGCTCCAGAGCAAAGAGAAAGAAGCATTGCAAAAAGTCAAATTCACAAACTTGTGTTGCGTCCAACCGAGTGTGACTGCAACCACTTGCAATGCTTAAAACAAGATGGCGGCGTCTTTGAGATGGCACCAACGGCAGCGTTGGGAACGCACTTACTGTTTCAAAATGCATTCAGACATAACCGCAGATGCCATTCACTGCATTAAACAGTAAATGTGTTGGTAACACTACAGTGCTTAGAACGCGTCTTCGACAGGTGTGTTAAGCCGTCCTCATTTTGGTCCCTCGATTTACACCTTGTGACGTCACAAAAGTGTCATGCTGTTGCTGGTCGTGATCTTGGCGGCGGTCCAACAGCAAAGGTACAGTTGGCAGACGACTGTTCTACCTTGTCTGACTCTGCTGCTCAACAGTTGACGGAAACTCAAGTGAACACGAGAGAGGACATTCCGATAACAGCAACTATTTATGTCCGCTCACCTTGTTAGCCGGCGCCTCTAATGAGTCGGCAACCAACCGCAAGGATTGCGACACCCGATAGCATGACACTTTTAGCTTTTGTGCCAAATTTTATTGCCACTTCCGGACCATTTTGAACGCAATATGGGGGGGGGGGGGGATATAGGACAGTAAACACACCAATCGAAAACGCGTTCCAGGCACCATAGTAACACTGCCATTGGCTGAACTGCGCAGACGCCGCTATCTTGTCTTAAGTGCCGCAAGCGGTTGCAGTCGCACTCGATCAGACTCAACGTAAATGTGTCATCCAGCCTTAGGAAACTGCTTTGATGTCAGTACTCTGGAACAGATGCATGCACATGAAGGCACCCTGAAAATGACTTATGGGAGCCCGTGTTAGCAGGTGACTGATAACACGCACAGTTGCCCTGAGAATGATTAATTGCAGCTCGGGACATGATCCCACAACTGCTCGTACACTAGACTTCTGAATGAATTTAAACTCGTCTTGATCATTCTGATAATATCAGGAGAACAGGAATGTGTCGTGCATGGAATGCCTGCACGAGTTTGTATCTGAAACATCTCACAGCTCCTCGTAACTGAGCATACCCAATCATACATAATGCACGCGTAACGCACACACCAGACATGCTATGCTTGACGAAAGTAATCCCTGGAGAAGGGGAACAAGAGGGACAAAGGACAAACATAAATCTCCAAACACAGCTAGGTGACTGGTGAGCGACCGAAAAAATCCGCCTGGTCCGGGTATCGAACCCGGGACCTCTCCATTACAGGTGGAGCGCTCTACCAACTGAGCTAACCAGGGGTTAGACGTCAGTAGAGCAAACGGGTTTTATCACCTGCCACCAGTCGAACACCAACAAGGGTGAAGCTTGCAATTTAAGGTTATAATTATAATGCAATTAAATGCAAAGGTGCAAGCGAGCTGGACAAGAATGACGAAAGTAATCCCTGGAGAAGGGGAACAAGAGGGACAAAGGACAAACATAAATCTCCAAACACAGCTAGGTGACTGGTGAGCGACCGAAAAAATCCGCCTGGTCCGGGTATCGAACCCGGGACCTCTTCATTACAGGTGGAGCGCTCTACCAACTGAGCTAACCAGGGGTTAGACGTCAGTAGAGCAAACGGGTTTTATCAGCTGCCACCAGTCGAACACCAACAAGGGTGAAGCTTGCAATTTAAGGTTATAATTATAATGCAATTAAATGCAAAGGTGCAAGCGAGCTGGACAAGAATGACTTTCGTCATTCTTGTCCAGCTCGCTTTAAGGTGTCAAATTTCAAACTTACAGAATGTAGTTTTGGTTTAAGTCCTCCTGGTGTATATTTTTATCCTTATAACTATATTTACATTGTTTTTTTTTTTTGTATTTTTGAGGCACAAGTACTTAATTTATACGCTAATTCACCTTTAGAAGCGTTTTAATTACACTCCATGCCTTTCTAGTGCTCGTAATTCATTCTTGGTGAAAGCGGTCTTAAATTTTTCTTTTCTCGCTGTCGCTGCTGCTTGCTTTCTCACCTTTAGAATGCTGACAACTCGACACAAAAGTAATGAAAAATGTGTTTAAAATGTCATGAAGATCAGCATTTCCAAACTGTACCCCTGCTTCATGCCCCGACCATGCCACCATACCATAGCTGAGTGGAGTGACAAATGGTCCCAGGTTTGTCACCCGACCGTTTTTTGGCTTACGGTGTGGCGCGACTCATGAAGCACCTATGCTTCGCGATGGAGCCAGTGAGCGAGGTGTGACACACTAGAGCTGTGCAAGCCACAGCTTTACAGCCTGCAAAGCGTGGGAAGATCCCTCTCCCTTTGCAGAGCTGGCATTAGCTCACCGAGAAGCTATTGCAAGCACTAGAAAGCCACGGAGTGTGAATAAAAGCGCGTCTGAAAATGAATTAGTGTGTAAATTATGCGTCTATATGTTAAAACTTAAAAAAAGTATACAATTATATATATATATATCTATTTAAATACTAAAAAAGGCAAAAAAGAAAAAAAAATGTTTCCAGGTGGGCTTGCACCCAGAGCTCCACGGCCCTTGAATTCAGTTCGCCAAAGCCCGCTTCAGACGGAACAATTTCGCCCAGCAACTTCATGTCGCAACACCAGCAACACGGGCCGCCCGTGTTCACATGCAGCAACCAAATTGCTACGACTTGCCATCATCATCATGAAATTTTATTTTTCTTACAGTATTTAGACGCACAGTTATATCCTAAAAACAGGTTTTTATATCTTTAAATTGCGCTGAGAATACTAATTCATCTTTTTGAAACAGTTTAGTTTCAAAAATGATCCATTTCAAACCTGAACTAAGTCCTCAGTTCTCATCATCACGACCACAGGGGTGTCACTGTGAAAATATTGCATTCCTGATTGGCTGCTGCCGCTTCAAACATCTCCGAGTAGTCAAAGTTGCTCGTCTGCTTCGAGCCGGACCCAATCTCAGCAATTCGTGTCGATCTAGGGAAAACTAGGGAACAACCCGCCAGCAGCCCCAAAATTGCTGGAAAGGTTGCCCCGTCTGAAGCGATCCTATACTCTGTTTCATACATAGAGTGCAACGCAGTCAAATCTAGCGCAACGGTTTGCATTGCTGACCGTGCCTACGTTCGCTCCATAAGATAGTGCGTCCCCTGCAAAAAAATTTTTAAAAGTCGGAAAATGTGCCTCCTCGGGGCTAGTAACTGATAGTGGCGTTATGATTTCAACGGAGCACAAATGTTTTTCAAGAAAAAGGAAAAGATAATGTAAACCACCTTAAATTGTTTTCGTGTTCATCCATGTGGCAGCCGCTGTGGGTTTTCGGGTTGTGTGGCACTGACTGGTTTTGAGAAGATGGCGTCTTATGCAGCAAGCTCAAGTACCTCTCCTGCTCGGATGTTTTCGAAGATTCGTTGTGCGAAAATCTTGAAAGAGTGCAAGCAGATGATCGCCAATGTGTACGGGAGTTTAAGAACACATTCCCCGGAGAATTCGGTCGTGAAGTCCTGGAGACGGCCAGTAACGACACTGGAGTGTGCCCTGTACTGTCGGGAAGTGCAAGGTGCAGTGCCCATCTGGCAAGGTGGCGTCCCCGAAGCAAAGACCTCGCAACGTGAAAGTTTCGAGCACGGGGACCGTCAAGCATGACGAGTTCACGCAGAACGCCATTCGCCTGAAGGTGCATCGCAAGTGCTCCGAGAGGGAGATTCCTACCCTTGCAGCTATTTCAAAATAAACTGTACAGGCCACAACTATTGTCGATTAACGTTTTATTATAAATTTTGGGACAAGGCCGCTATCAGGGCGATTCCTCATTCCACGCTGCACGAAAGAAAATATAACTCGGTGCTGGAGGCAAATAACACTTGCAAAGCGGCAGACCAGATGGTAGAAATCTGGCCTCTCGGCGACATATAAATAAAAATCAAGAAGGAGGAACTGAAATATGCACTTCGTCAATACGCACAATCTTGCACAAAAAGTATGTCTAAAAAAAAAAAAAAAAAATCTTTGCGCGTAAAATGGGTTCAAACCACGGCCACCGAGACGTCAATATCGTCAGAACAGCGCCTTCTACCACTCGTCCACAAAACGCGCGGAGTAACACTTTTTCTATTTTTGCATGCGCACCACTTTAGTACCTTTCACAGCGTTGCACGCTAAGTATGAAACAGAGTATAAGACACTCTATTGTCTGGTACAGAGACCATTTATGAACGCTTGGGTGTTTAAACGATGTACTACACATTTTACAAAAAGAAAAAAAAAACATTGGGGGTTTAAACGTTGTACTACCCCTTTTTCAATAGAAAAAAGCAACAATAAAAAAAAACACATTTCAGAAGAAAAAGTTAAGGAAACGGAATGTACCATTATGTTCAGTGAAGTTTGGTGACAAGACTCGGGACTCGAGCAGGAATGCAGTTATTCTTGGTGTGACCCCATGAGACTGTCTTGCTGCCTTTGCTGGGGTTTATCTAACTGAAGCACCTGTGCGAAAAGTAGAACACATGTGCATAACACTCGTTATTCACAAGAAAATTTGTTAATGTCCAAAATGACCCATGAAGAAAATTATGCGAGGAATTTTCAGGCTGCGTTGGCCGAGTCACCTCTCGTGGCCAATGTTTCATAGCAACTTTAATTGTTGTGAACAGTTATAGGGTATATTACGAACAAAGTGCAATTTGGTTTTGTAGGAAACTATAACACACAAAACGACACTTGAATAGAGTATGTTGAGGTACCTCTAAACAAACTCCAGGGTTTCATGGCGCCTCCTTCAGATACCTGATGTTGAACATGAAATATGTGCACCAAGGAGTGAGCAAACAGCGACTTCAGATTTGTGTCTAACACCAGCGACATGTCGACAAGGAGTGCAACGTGTAGAAGGTCGTCTAGAAGTGTGCCAAGATGAAAAAGCAAGATGTAACGATATCAGAATAAGATCACACCAACGAGGCACCATTGTGGTGAGACAATCTACGATGTAGAGACAGTAATCGGGAGTCAACCGACGTACGGCCGCGATTTACTTTGCGGCGACTGAAATAAAACGTGGCAAAAAAATTTTTTTTTTTTAAATAAAAACCGCGTTTTTTTTTTGTTTTTTTTTACCTTATTCTTTGAGCGCAGCCGGTAGCAGAGCAGTTGGGCGGCGTCAGGAAAATCAGACAGACTCGCTAGCTTTTCTCAACTTCGTACGGCGCCAGTCGGCACCACAGATGAATGGTCGGCACTCTTAGTCTACCAGGGAAGAAAAAAGTACGAGCTCAGAGCCCAGCGTCGATCGCGACTTTCGTAAAGAGAAGCTCCGGTAACACTTCGGCGACTCGCGAGCGTTAAACAACGCCTCTTCGAACGAGCCCACGAATCCAACACGTCGAACGGTTTGCGCCGGTAAGCACGCTGGGAGCCAGGGGGCTGGAGGTTGAATATCCGAAAGAGACGAGGCGCTGGGTTCTACGTCTATTTCGCATATGAGATAACAAGCCGAGTGATAGCTAGCCGAGTGTAAACACTGACTGAAGTTACATCAGAGTACACGCGGTCGAAATGACGTCTGCAACAGAGCACAGCCAGACGCTTTCAGCAGGGGACGCATGCGTTCAAATAATCTGCGATTTCAAAACATCATGTATCCCTTCTGTCCTTCAGTGTTCACTTTGATCTGTGTATACCAAAGCCCTCAAAGCTGCAAGTAATAAAGTCGTCTATACGTACCTTTCGATGCGATTGAAAGTGCGTTGGTTTCACTTGGAATCCACAAGCAAAGTGCGCGACGAACTTGACGAGCCGTTATCCGTCGGTCCCGCCACCGCCGCTGTCTCGCTGTCTCGCCGGGTTGGCGCGGTCGCGGTCGCTGCGCCGGCTGCGCAATGGCGTAATCTCGGCGGCTTGGCTAGGCTTGGCTGGATCGGCGGATTCGGCCGATTCGGCCACTCGGCGGCTCGCTCAGCTGCTTGTCTGGCTCGAAGGGCTACTCGCGGCTCGCTCGGCTCGGCCCCCTTCGGAATTCGAACTGCCTCCGAAGCTCGAGCGCTCGAGCTTTCGCGCGCGCGGGTTGACGATGGAAACTTTTCTCATAAAACGAGTCTGTAACGTATCGTTTGATGGCGCAAATGCACGTATTTTTCCCGTCGTTTTTTACAGTGTGTGAATCTTGCGAAACAGGCGACGAAGAGTGGTGGGTGAAATGTGCTCGTGTGTGGTTGTGGATTTTGTGTACGACGTAGGATTACCCAGAAAGGTGGGTCAATATCGATAAATGTGCGGGTAAGAAGCACGTGACCTGTCAAGCCCATTAATCCTCATTATTTTATCGTGCGAACTGACATTGTCACGTATCGCGTTCGATTTGGGTTTCAACATCGGTAACCTAACTTTTGTTGCATTAAAACTGCAATAAACATTTGTTTGAAAACGATCACTCCAATGAGCACGTCGTTATTGGGCTTTCTCATTGAAAGGTACGTCGCGGGTGTCCCAGCTAGTTATTCTGAATGGTTTGGAGGTTGTCTAGCATTTCAAGCGCTCGAGGCTCTGTGTACTGTGTGCCGTACGTACACTTGCGCTTTCGATCAATGTGAATGTGTTTGCAACGCGGAACGTTTGTGTTCTGTGTGTATCCACCTCCAATAACGTTCGCTCTCGTATTGCCGTATGGTAACTCCTGCTGTTCTACGATATCATTCACGCGATGTCGTATATGTGGGCGTACCGATATCCACATGTTGCTTCACGGGCGATCAATACTGTGTTACGTATCCTCTTAGTCCGCGGTACATGCCGACGTAATTCATGTTGGTAACTTGGAATTCGTTCTGAGATTTATCCACGCGATATTGTATTCTCCTTAGGGCCCGTGATCGACGACCGATATTTATATATCGTGTGGCCGCACAGTATGTCCATGTCGGTCACCAATATGCACGCGGTGTCGTATTCTATTCCAATAACCGTAAGTTCTGTCGGGATATTGTGCTTCGATATCGTGTTGTATACCAATAACCGCAAGTTATATCGGGATATTGTGCTCCAATATCCTGTTGTATACCAATAACCACATACTATATCGGGATATTGTGCTCCGATATGAATTCCCATCGTGCGTATTGGGTTAATCGGATAACAATAAGTTTTTATTGGTTTCCACCAGCTTCATTGGAATACAATATTTCCAATAAGCCGAGTTCATATTGGCCTTTTTCAATAGGGTGGCAAGTGTTTTCAAGGTGAGTGACTGATCTCTATCTGAGGTGTTTGTTTCAATCCTCACAGACACTCTGTTTCCTGTCTGTATAGTGGTCTTGTTTCAGGCTTTTGTGTCTCTGTCCGGCCAAAGCATCTGTGTTAGACTAATCATTAGGATGTGTGCAGCAATTCTTGGCAGGGCTGCCAATCAGGAACACGAGTTTGTTCTCGGCCACCAAAAGCAAGTATTTTCAAGGCGAGCTATTGCCCGCCTATATGAGTCTCACCATTCACCAAGGAGCGCAAAATCGAAGCCCGGGGGCTGGCCATTGCAAAAATGTTGACTCAGAAGCGCATAGGGAGGAAGCTTTATAAAAGTGTCCACCTGGTTGTACAAGACAAACCAAAACTAAGAACGTGGGTTCCATTTAAAAAAAAAAAAAACATTGTCAGCCCGAATTAACTCGGGGGCGGCACGGAGCAAACAAGCCACGGTACGAGTATGCTTGGTTCAGGCGTTTGTAGGGGTGGTAGATGACTGAATGTTTTCTAAAAAAAATATTTTTTTTTCTAAAATTGTGGTGGTCGAAAATTCAGGGATGGGCATTGAGTCGGGATGTTAAGGTAAAAATTTCATCCACATGCCGGGATTCATGTGCCTTGTCCCCCTAGCGAGGGGGACAAGGCCTTCAAAATTTTGGGTTCGCAAAAGGGGTGCGTCAGAATTGACGTCTCATTTTACATCATGCGTCTCAATTTAAAGCGTACTATAAATGACATGCCTGAGATTCGTTTGGGTGTGCTTCCTCTCAGCAAGTATATGGTTCTGGCTCAAAAAGGTCTAATCTGATGTTGACCGCTCCTCAGGTCTCCACCGACGATTCTTCAGGACGGGACCCAACCGGGACACTAGGGAGGAACGGCTTAAGCAAGAGAGGCTACATATACGACAGCTTCTTGCGGACAAGAAACGAAAATAGATAGATGGTGGGTGTTTCATTTGCTATGCCTTTTGGCGTGCACATTATGTTTGTTATGTTTCAAGATTCCTGCAGAGTTCGGTTTAAACTATTGTAAAATACCGAGCATGCGCCCAGGTCGCAGAAGCGCCTACTCTCTGATTCGGAACGATCCGCAAATAAGCAAAGGGCATACCAGACACCCATCCACCTGTTTTGAGCCGTGCTCAGAATATTGAAAGAGCACATCAAGCGCCAGGTGCTGTGGCGTCTGCCACAATAGCGCCAGTCGCAGAGCTGACATATCCGTGACTGGCGCAAGCCATGGCATGGCCTTTGGGAACCAGGGAATCGAGATTAAAGAAGTAGCGCAGAAATTGGAGGCGAGTGGTGAAGGTGAGCAGAGTTAACAGAAAACAAGGACGAAGGGAGTTCCGTCGCATGAGGCATCTGTGTCCCGTGCATGTAATTTTGAGTGTGCTGTAGGTGGCTACCCAAAAAAAATTGTTACTTGGACGTAACTAATCGCAAATCTCTCTTGCAGTTTCCATGGCCCACAAGCCAGCCGGCGCCAGTTCGTTCTCGTTCAAAGGTGAGGATTCTAGATTTTCTAGATTGCTCTGAAGCAGCAATACTGAAGCCAGACAAGCGGTACGGCATACTTAATTGACAGAACGAATGGGCACGCTTTCACTGAAGCTTGTTTTGCTGCAATACAAGTGTGTATTGCAGCAAAACAAGCTTCAGTGAAAGCGTCCCTACTCGTTCTGAGCTCCGTCAATTAAAGGCGCCGTACCGCTTGTCTGTCTGGCTTCAGTGTAGCTGTAGGCGACAGAACGTGTGCCCAGTTTTGTCACAAGAGGCATATTATGTCACGCACATGTAATTTTGAATTTATCCGGCTTAGTGTGCTGTAGGTGGCTGGTCAAAGAAATTGATACTTGGACGCAGCTAATCGCAAATCTTTCTGGCAGTTTCCACAGCCTAAGAGCCAGCAGGTCCCAGTTTGCTTTTCTTTAAAGGTGAGAATTCCAGATTCCCGAAGCAGCAATACTGAAGCCATACGAACGGTACAGCATTTTTAATTGACGGAGCTCAGAACGATTGGGAGCTCCTGCATTGAAGCTTATTTTTCTGTAATACAAGCGGGCGACATTGACACGTGCCCAGTTACGTCGCAAGAGGATATCTATGTCCCGCGCATGTAATTTTGAATCTTTCAGACTTGGAGTACTTTACGTGGCTACTCA